CCAAATAAATCCCTACATGATCAGCAAAACTCACTAAATCTTTTTTTTCATTTAAAGGGAAAAAAAATCCCAAGCAGAACTTTACTTCTGTTTAAAGAGAAGCAACTTCAGCAGCTGCATGAAAAACTGTGCTTTTATTATGAATTTGCATCACTGGTGGCACTCTGTTAATATGGCAATAGGTGGCAGAACAACATTGTGAAGCGGACAGACTCAGAAGAAAAACTCTGAAACAAGAACCCAGAGGCAGACAAACAGGATAACATGTCAAAAAAAAAAAATCATGAGGATGGAGAATATAGTCTCCATCATCAAAACTTTAGTTTTTGACAAGGCAGTAGTCCGAAACCCAAAATTTATTTTATCTTTCCTTTTATCAACTTCATCCCTTCGATAACAGCCATTTGAATTCATCAGCTAAGAAACCTAGCCAGTATTACTGTGACTGAAAATCAAAATTCACTTCCATAAGTAATCCTGATTTCGTCATCTTAGCCACATTCATCTGGCAGCAGGTGGAGGGAAGCGGCCTGAAACACAGGTTAGATAAAACAAAACAGTTCCTACAGTTCTCACAAGGCAATAAAAAATTACCTAACCTGAATCAGGCAGAATACAAGGAACTGCAGAGTGGAGAGATCTGTGCAGGATTAGTGGAAGTGAAACAATCAATCTCAAAGAAAATCTTTACCTTTCTTGTTCTTCCACTACATCCTTTCAAAACGAGTTAGGGTATGAAAAGCTTGAATCTCTTGACACCTTTTACCACATGGGATTAAGTGAACTGAAGGAATCAGTACTGAAAGTGTGTTTCTTCTCATGTCACAGTGCTCCCACCTGTATCATTCCAGTGGCCTGTAAAATCAGCAATTCTTCCCACTGATGCCTTTCACTTCCCCCCATATTTAAGGTAAGGTGGTTGAGAGGTTCAAAAAACAGTCATCTATAAGACAATTGTCAGAAGTAGCATAACTATTTTGGCTTCTGTTCTCCTATAGTAACTTCTCTTAGCAGCAACAAATTTAGTCATACAGTACCTTAAGCTATGGCTTAAACATATTATGAGTGCAACTCCCCTGACCCCACACCAGAAACATCTCTCTCTACACATGCACTTGTTCTTCCAGAGTTCCTGAGGCACCCACTCTCTTGATTTCAGGGAGTTCCAAGTACATGTGTGGATCAGAAAAGGAAAGTGGTACTGAGAGGCATGGTTCTTCCCATAGTGCTTTTGTTGATGTTCACCATGCTTGCTTTCTTTTCAGTAACATGTTCCACATTCCCTGACCCAAGCATAGTTCAAGCAGTGGAACGAGAAACACCAGTGGCGTGTGTTTTCACTGTTTTATTCTAGTCCTGCCTAGAGCTGTTAGCTTGCAGGCTAGGAAAGGCCCTTACTACGAGAACTGCCATTACTAGCTGTGGAGCTGCACAGGAAGACAGCATTAACAAAGCCTTCCAGTCTCTCACGCCCTTGGTACCTTAGCTTCTGCATTTGCTAAGTTTATCAACACATACAAAGCATTTAAGCCTACCAGATGAATTCCCCAGTTCATGCACTCAGATACAGCATCACAGAAAGAAATAGCTTACAAGTCTTAAAAATACTGCAAATCTTTCCTTCATAGAGGCAAACTGAGCTGCTGACCAGGATAACTAAATTGACCACATTTCTCCTTGCAATGCTTCCTGTCTTGTGCAGAAACCTTGTGGTAGGTTACAGTCAAGGGAGGGCATAACTGGTAGTACCAGTTGGGTTGAAAGTACAGAGACACAAATTTACTCATTTTACTCTTCGGTTCTTGAATATTAACATCATAGGTACTCTGCTAGGTGAGAAATTCCACACAAGCAGTGGAAGAGCAACAATAGAAAGTTTGTGTGAACAGACTCAAAGTCACAGGAACAGCTACTTAAAACTGTACCTTTTAAGCATATTATAGCTTCATTAACTCAGTAACTCATACCCAAGTTACCAGAAGAAATCTTATCTCTAAGCGCCCTAAATATTTAGTGATTTCATGTTCTGCCCATTCCAAGCATGGAACAATCTGATTCTTCACAAAATCAGAATTTTATAACAATGAAAACTTTCTAAAAATTAGGAAAAAAAATAGGAAAAAAAATCTGATATTTAGCAAGCCTCATCTTAATATTTCTGGTTTGTTCAACCAGTTAGATCCTCTGAGGTACGTGTTAAGGTCACATCCAGGTTCAAGGTTTGGCAAGCTTGTGACAAACAAAAATTCCAGAATCTAGTATCACTGATATTATTACCTAAAACAGATAAATAAACTGAGGATGAGCTTTCAATGTATTTAAAAGTAACCATAAAGAAGAACAATTTGACTCTTCTTTGCCCTCAGTAGGTATGACAAAACATTCACCATAGCACTGTTTTTTTCACAACACAGTGAAAACTAACACAAGAACTTCTGCTATTGCTACAAGTCTTCCCACAGGTCTCAAACAGGGGTCTTAAATGGGAATAAAAAAAAACATAATGTACATCTCTCTCACAACTGATATCACATTCTTCTGCACAGCAGGAACCTAAATTAAATTCACAACACCAACTGTGATTCTTCCCTCTTTTAGGACCTGGACCTCTCCATGCTGTAGACTACTGCTTGTGTCAGACCCCAGTAATCATTATCAAGACTGAGTCATATACATTTGTTCCCTTTCAAGCTGGAAATAGAAATAATTTCTTCCTTTAAAAGGGTAGTGCTATTTTATCCAACAGCTAAGTGGCTTGGGCACACACACTGATGTTGTGAAATGCACAAGCTGTACATCCACCCAAACCAAAAAGGATTCAAACCCACACATCCTACCTCTGAGGGTCATGACCCCCATCTCATGCTTTAGGAGGAAGGATAGTCTTAAGGGTTGTCTCTCTGTAAAGAGGAACTTGAGACTCACCAGACCAAAGAACTGCTATTCTGCAGCTCAAGTGAGGAGCTCACCTGATGGAGAAAAGACCTGGATGACACTCACACTCTACACACCATGTCAGAAAATAAATGATAACTTAATTAACAGTGTTTGTGCAAGCCTAAGAGTGAGGTAAGTATGAAGTTGTTATCCCCTGCTGATGCAGATATACTGTCCAGCACATGCACACGTGAAACTTCTGGTACGTATGAGAGTTGAGCATGCAGGCACTGAAGTCCTAAGACCTTCTGGAGATCAGGGCTTCAGCTTTTTGGTGGCTTTGTTTCCATTCAGTAAAGAGAAAATAGCACTACATTCATAGGGATGATATGGGAAGACACTTTAAAGACTCACAAGTTTTCAGTTGTTACAATAGTGTGTATCATAAATGTTCTTAAATTAGTATTTCAGGGCAGCAGGGAGATTGGAAAAGAAGGCAGTTTCAAAAAAACAGTTAAAATTGGTTTCCATCACTGTAAATTCACGAAGCCCACTGCTAACATCTGTCATTGGACCTAGTGCATTTTCATAATTTAAAAAGAAGCACATTATTTCCTCTCCTGTTTAGCTCTTTGACAGTCCTGGAGAAGTTACTGACGTGGAAGCTTCATCAGCCTCCCAGCCATCCAATCTGCAAATAAACCCCTTGTGACACGTCCAAATCTTTTCACAGTCCACCTCTTGAAAACAAATTGCAGGAGTACCAAACCATAACTTACATTAGCCTTGCAGAATTTGTAGCTACGTTATTTTTCGGTTGGTTGGTTTTTCAAAACTCCTAGTTTCTGAAGCAGTGATTACCTGAGTGTGCCTGTTTCCTTCTTCAAGTAAAACTGTAGGATCCATGCTCATGGCTCTCTTTCAGGCTCAAAATAAAAAAAAGATAAATAACTAAATTTCTGACTTCTCTCACCCAGTCTTGTTATTTTAGGGCAATATTTGCTGGCTATCATTTTGTGCCAGGTACTGTGCAATATATGGAAAAAGAAGAGTCCCTTCCCCACACTATGTGCTAAAAAGAAAAAAAAGCAAGAACCATGGGGAGAGAGGAGTAATTGATGCCAAAAGACTCAGTGACCTACAGCAATAACTAGTAAGTATATCACTGACTGAGTCTCGACACTGTTCCAAGACTATGCTTACCACCTTCTTAGAATTTATTTAAGTGCTACTAAGTATTACCAAAATGAAACAGATATTAGAACTTACTACCCTGAACACATCCTTGACAGTAAGAGCAAATGACCATCAGCAAAGTCCACCTGAACTTACCTAGGAGAGCTGGACACTTTGTTAGTCAAGCCCTGTGTGAAAAGCCTTATCATTTCCAGTAACTAGCTTTGAATAATTGAGATAGTAGTGGCATTTTACTGAAATCCAGCCTACTGAACTCCCAAACAGTGTTAACTTGATTGACCATAAGGCTTATTTCACCTTTTTTTTTTTAGCTAAGAAATGCATACATCTGTATTCCCAACAAAACAACCTACTACAGGCACCCTAAAGGAAACATACACGCATTTGTAAACTTATTTGACAACAGTTTACTACCACATATCTAAAGTCTATGATTCCTACTGTAAGGATAACAACTGGGCAAGACTGCATATGATTACACATATTTGTAGAATAAAGTACTTTCAAAGGATTAATTTAAAACCTGCAGGCCACAAATACCAAATTACCGCAGTGTGAAACTGAAATTTAGCAAAACTTGTTTAAAACACCCCACCATCGTTTTTTACATTAAACAGATTCCATTGGAGCTGAAAATAAGGGTGTAATCAACCCATTTAATTTTTGTCCATTTAAATCCTGACAGAAAAGTTTACTATTACATACATATAATGTATAAGTTCTCATCTGTGATAAATAGCATTTCAGTTATAGCCTTTATTCATCAAAACCCACAAGGAACTTGAAATCATACACCTGAGGACCTGAAAAGCAAAACGAAGAGTGACTAAGGCATCAAATGATGTAGTTATCATTTGGTCTGCAGTCTCCGACCGTAAGGGTGAAAAAAACACATCAAAAAAAAACCTCCAGCAACTCTGCCTCACCCAGCAAGGAGCCCACGAAGATGACAATCTGCACGGTGGTGGTGAAGTGCCGGTAGCCCCGCTCCTCGCCGTGCTCCTCGCTCTCCACGGCCCCGGCCTCGCTGACGTTCCCGCCCTGCCACACCATCTGCCCGGCCGAGGCGTTCCTCATCTCCAGAGCTCTGGTGACAGCCTGGTACGGGGCATGGTCGCTTTCATTCCTCAACATCCAGCTTTTGTCGTACCCCATGGCGGAGTTCCTGCCCTCTCCGCTACCACCTAATAACCACAGGTTGTTGAGCCCTTCCCTTTAGCGAGTAAATGGTGCCCACCGGCAAAAAGGCGCTTCTAAGGATACAGCCCCTACTCTCGGAGGCATCTTCACCACATTCCTGTGTCCCGGGAAGCAGAGGCGGCTGTTCGCGTTTCCACCTCGTAAATCATGATAGCCAGTGAAGGAAAACAGAAAACAAGCCAGGCTTCTCCTTGCAATCAGCTCTCCCATATTTCTTGCTTCACACTGCCACAGGTCTCCTCAACATGTTTTACCGCAATAAGCGAGAATGAGGGAATCACAGTACACAGAATCACAGCCCGCACCGCGGCTCATCCTCCCAACTCCGCCGAGGGTCGCGGCGCGCCCCCCGCGCACCAGGGCTCACTGCACACCAAAACTGGTCTGGAAAAGTTGAGGGACCACAAGCTCTTTCCCCCCACTCCACTCTCAGTGTTGGCGCTGCCTTTCCTCACAGCCCTGAGGGAGGAAAAACATGGTTTTCCCCCTGGCCCATCTGGCTCGCTCCTCCCGCGGTCAGGCACGGCTCGCCCCCCCCGCCTCGCCTCCCTCCCGGCTCTGCGCGGCGCTGGACACCGCAAGGACCCTTACACAGCGTCCAGAGAGGCCAGTGACAGCTCAGTGGGTTCCACTGCGCTCCAGCTATTTCTCGGGGAAAATTAATTTGGTTTTGAATCCCAAGGCGGGGGGCGCTCGAGCCTCCAGTGAACCGAGAGGGCTCCGTACGATCCCTGGCACGCCCCGCTCTGAAAGCGCGCCCCGCACTGAGCGCGGCTGGCGGCGACACCTCGCTCGTTCGTGCAATCAATCATCTCGGCCGGGCGCCGAGCTGCTGCGCCCCCGCTACCGCGGCCCGGCAGCCCCAGTGCGGTTTGCCCGCCAAGCCCCGCCGCGATCCCGCGGGAGGCGGGTGGCCGCGGGGCGGACAGGACTGGCGGGGCGGGCAGGACTGCGGGGGCGGGAGCCCGCGCGGCTCCAGAGGGGCGGGCGCGCCGCCCCTCACGTGGCCGCCGCGCACGGCGGAGCCGCCATTTCGCTCGGTGGCTGGGAGCGTTTCTAAATCGGTATTTTAAAACAGGTCCGTAATTCTGAGGACAGGGTTTCAAAAGACGGTGCTGGATTCTAGTGTTGTTTGTTAAAATAGATATTTTTAATATATATTTTGCCATTAAAGCTCCTCAGTAGATGTAATAAATTTGGGCTTTGAATGTGCAAAAGTTGTGCATCCATATAGCAGGTGCACATTCGCCTTTAATTTGAAGACTTAAGGAGGGTGGCTAGTTAAAAATCAAGACAATAAAGCTTTTTCAGCCACTGGACAGCCAATCTGGAAATGCTCCAAGAAGAGGAGCTACCCATGAGTATGGTCCCTGCACAGCAAGGCTTCCTCAGGGACCCAACACTCACGAGATGTATTTCAGTGGCACACATCCTGTCACCTGTGATGTGAACTTGGGTGACACAGGACAGAGCTGGGTGCTGTGCCATGGGTTCAAGGATGTTTGCTGACCACAGGGATAGGGGACTGCCACCACCCCATTCCACCACAGGTCCTGAAGGCTGTTGGCCAAACCTCTGCTTGCACCTCTGTGTATTTGGCCCCTGCCCTTTGCAGGCTCCACTCATTCCTCTGGGAGCATGAGTCTCCCAGCTCATTGCTCCAGCCTTTTTTCTAGTAATTGATGTCTCCTACTCACTCCCAGTGTGGCCCTAGGCTCAATCACCCTCTTACCCTTTTCTCTCACCCAAACTCATTCACCTTGTCCAACCAGTCCCATTTTTCCTTGCTCTCCCCATGCAATAATCAGCAGCTTCCACCATGCTTTCTCCTCATCTTATCTTTCATTAGACACTCAAATGGGCTTCTTCTTCCTTCTGGACACATTCTCTGTAACCAGAGCCTGACCTCCATCCCTTCACCTCCCAGCCACCTTCAAGGCACTGTTCCTCATATAAAGTGATCCCTTTCTCCAGCTCCTCCCTCAGGACGGGATGATGACTAAGACGCCAGGCAAGGGCTAATGCTTGGTATCTACAGCCTACACTGTGTACCCTCTGTGTTGTCGTTGCATAGGTCTGCATAGTTGACATTAAGAAAGGATGACTTGGCTAAAGGAAAAGGAGATAGGATGGTCCCAGTTTGACTGGTAAATGGAACAGAAGAGAAGTAAGTTGTATGACCAGAACTTTGAAGGGCGCCATGGCCAGAAAAGAAATGTTGGCCTGGATTAAAGGTCATTTAAATATTAAAATGCATGTACCTGTATATGCTAATAAGTTTAATGAAGTACATGCTACCACAGGAATGACTGTATTACGCAACTCTCCACTTAGATCATGCTATATGTAACATAGCAGGACCATAGCACAGATTGGAGGAGGGCAGACATTTCACCTGTTAGGAGAAAGACCCTGGAGACAGCCAACAGGCTATTCTGCTTTCCCTCCTCTCAACTGGGGATGCTGCCTTGATAAGCACGAATATTATTATTACCTAGATTAACACAATATTATTAGAGATCTGTTACGGCTACTGCACTTATCAGTGGCAATTCCTACTCTGTATTTTTGTTGCTTCAATAAACTGCACTATTCACGAATTTGTGGTTGTGGAAGTTCCTGTTGAACACGGCCAGACATATAATGACAAATTGGTTATAGTCAGAATAAGCCCAGCTGCACCCAGCCCCTCTGATCTCTGGGGACAAGACGGAATGCAAGAGGGTTTATTTTGTGCCACACTTCTTGCTCTTAACACTCAGGACCCTTCCCCTCTCTCCTGCACTTCACCTAGGAAGACTGACCAACCCTCACTATGCCCATGGGGAAGTGAAAGCACATTCTCACACCTCACTTCATTAAATTTTAATAGCTAGAATTAAATTTTAGTGCTGTGACACATTATAGGTTTAATAATTTTGTCATAAATTTTGGAAGGGAAGCTTCTGTCCAGATGCAGTCTTGCACATCTTTAGGGCAGGTGGATGTTCATTGCATTCCAGTAAATCTATGGGGAGCATATGAGTACTTCCCTCAGTAATGTAATTCAATTCAGTTTATGCAGGTTTTCACAAGGTTAGCTAGCAAAGCCACAGCACTGGAAAAGGTTGTCTCTTCCCCTTCATTCGTCAAATTTTCACACTTCTGCTGGGGTACAAGACTTTTTAAAATAAATTCTTAGAATGTTTTCATGATTATGTCATGATTATCTGCCTTTCTTCTTGGAAACAATGAATCATTATAGAAAAAATTAAGAGGAAAAAAAATAGCCTGAGGTAGACATCTGGTCTAGAATATTTCATCCCAAACCGTTAAAATTTTGCCAAGTCACAAAGAATGGGAACAATTGGGCAGCTTTAACAATGCATAAGGTTGCCCGACCCACCCATTGCCACACAGTGTAACACAGGAGAAGTTTCCCAGGTGCTGGGCTGTGTGCCCCACACCACGTGCTTAGAAAGTATAAACCCATAATTTCTGTTAAAGGAAATTTTACTTGCGTTTCTTAATTACTTACTGCATCACATCTTCTAATTGGCCATTCTTGCTGTGTCTCTGTGTGGGAGAGAAGATGAATCTGTGCCCTAGAAACTTTTATGTCTTTTCTTTAACACAGGGAAACTATTTACACAAATTGATAGATAAGCAGACCCAACTGCACCAGAGGAAACTCCAGCGGTCAGTTACAGTGCCCCAGGTGGCATTTGACTGAGCAAAAGGAGATCTCCCTTGCTGTTAGATAAACACTACACAGCTTTGGTCATGCATTTCCTACAAAAAACATGAGACAGAAAGACCTTGCCACTAAAGACAGGTTCCAGGAGTGGTAAGGAATCACAACAGTGGTAACAGCATCACAACAGTGATACAATTTAATACTCGGCTTTGGTTAGATACTAATGAACATTATTTAAGTGTGACTGAAAGATAAACACACACATGGAACAAGCTTTCAATTTCAGAAGGAAAATTGAGGGCTATAGAAACTGTTCATTAGCATAAGTCCCTCCTGAAGTGGTCTATAACAAAAAGTCTGTACTGGAAGGTCAGGGAGTAAAGTGAAAGTCACCCAAACTCCATTTATATATCTGGGTGCACGGTAGCAAGCTGCAGACTACTGTAACATTTTTCTTTGCCTGGGGATTACTCACCTAGTCAATAAGCTTGTATGTATGAATTTATTTGGGGTTTCTTTATTAAGATCCCAAAACTTACCGGAGGCTACATCTTGTGGCAGTCCTCTTCAGTAGTTACTACAAGAAGTGACCAAAGAAAGCACATTTTCTTCTTTGGTTACCACTGCTCTCCCGACAACCCCCAGCTTCCTCTCTCTGGCAAGTTCCGCCAAGGAGACCCAGGGGCTGAGAGGTGTTCGCCGGGTCTGGCCTCACTTCGTATTTGCAGTTTAACTAGCAAAAGACTAAGGCTGCTTGCCCTCCACATGCTATTATTCACTAAAGCAATCGTCAGTGGAAATATTTTCATAGTTTTCACAGGAACTTGTATCCCGTGTCAACTCTACATTAAATCCATTCTGAATTTTGTGGTTACCTTTCCCTTTTGCAAGTCTTTGTCAAGGTCTATTAAAAAAAATCTGCACAGTAACTAGTCGTATTTGCTGCGTATCTCCGTATTATAGGTATAACTGGGGGAGGTCAGGCTGGGCATTAGGAAAAGATTCTTCACCCAGAGAGTGGTTG